CTCGTGATAATCAAAATACAAACACACTGGCAAAGACCTGTCACAATGTATCTCAAAACGTACACGTGCGCACACACAGACACACAGACACACACACACTCTCTCTCTCTCTTTCTCTCTCTCTCTCTCTCCCTCCCCTTCTTTCTCCCTCTCTCACCACAAACTCCGGCCGAACGGCTGCCGGTGGCGCCCCCAACCAGCAACGTAGCGCGTCTCCAAATGTCCAGAAATACACTTGGCGTTCCTTTTCTTCATAATTCCTCAAGACGGGCATGAGCAGATCCTTTCGTCGTGAACTTTTAGCTTCTAACTCTGATCACTAACGAAAACGACAAACTAAGACAGTAATAATGATAATGATAGTAATAACAATAATTGAACAGAAACTTCTTGCTTTTCGATTTCTTAATATATCATCATCCTCATCATTATTACCATTATCATTATTATCATCATCATTATCATCATGATCAACTTACCGGGTGCCTGTATCCCTCGTTACCCTGCTTTTATATCCCGTAACAGACATTCTGTCAGCTTACTTCAATTACTATTATTGTAAAGCTTAATGTACTTTTTAATACTAATCAGATACGTATAATCTACTGACATTCATATCTAAAGTGCATGCTGCTGTATATAGACTAGCATTTAAAAAAAATATATAACATTTTCATTATCTCTCTCTCTCGTCTTCCTCCTTCCCTTTCTCCTCTCTCCCCCATCTCTCTCTCTCTCTCGCTCTCTCGAGGGAGAGAGAGAGGGGGGGGGGATGGAGGGAAAGGGAGAGGGAGGGAGGGGGGGAGGGAGGGAGAGAGGGAGGGGGGGGAAGAGTGAGAGTGAAGGAGTTGAGTGAGTGAAAGAGAGAGTGGGAGGGGGGAGATATAGAGGGTGAGGGTGAGGTGGAGGAAGAGAGAGAGGGAGAGGGAGGGAGGGAGGGAGGAGGGAGTGAGAGAAAGCGAGAGTGTGAGAGAAGGGGGGAGAGGGAGAGGGAGAGGGAGAGATAGAGAGAGAGTGGGCGAGGGGGAGGGGAGAGAGAGAAAAAAAAAGAGAGGGAAAGGGGGAGAGAGGGAGAGGGGGAGGGAGGGAGGGAGGGAGAGAGAGAGTGATTGAGTGAGAGAAAGCGTGAGTGTGAGAGAAGGGGGGGGGAGGGGAGGAAGAGATAGAGAGAGTGGACGAGGGGGAGAGAGAGGGGGAGGTGGAGAGAGAGAGAGAGAGAGAGAGAGAGAGAGAGAGAGAGAGAGAGAGAGAGAGAGAGAGAGGGAGAGAGGGAGAGAGGGAGAGAGGGAGAGAGGGAGAGAGGGAGAGGGGGAGAGAGGGAGGGAGAGAGGGAGAGAGGGAGAGAGGGAGAGAGGGAGAGGGGGAGAGAGGGAGGGAGAGAGAATATTCATTATGGTTGTGTAGTCTTAAAATCGAGCTAGATTGAAATGTTCGACGAAATTACGCATTGAGACGTGACTGCGTATTAATTTGTGGTTCGCAGCGTCGGAAATCACTTCCTTGGCAATGCAGCCTTCAGAGCGACCAACCGTCAGCGGGGAGGGACATGTCATTGTCTTTCTCACATGAGCATTGCGAGGCAGAGGACGTCTTTGTACTATACATCCTCATCTGGGTTTACTTGTTCAAGTGAACGGTTTTCGAATCAGCTGATTTCTCCACGCACCACGTGATTTTAGCGTAATGCAAATATACACTTCCCAGCTCGCTCTTTGAAAAAAATCGTAAGGCTAGGCACATGAAAGTCTGAACTTGATTACAACCCTCATTCCCCCTTTTGCATTTTCTGTCTTCATCTTGATGGTCGGAAGTTCCCTCGCCTGGCATAGGATTCCCGACCAAGACTGCAGGGCGAGCGGCGTCCCACTAGCCAAATGACATGCGGGTCCTGCCGAGTAGCAGCCAGGAGATTGTGACGCAGGAGAAAAGAGGGATTTCTGCTTTGCTTGGTGGACATCTCGTGGCGGGACGTTTAGCTTGGCTTGGTAACTAGCAACACGACAATAACTGAACGTTGTCAATTGGGAGGCTATTATTATCGTTAACGATTACGCTGGAGGTGTTCCCACTATGTTACGTGTCTTTTCCCCAAGAGATAAATAGTTCCTAATGGCATACACACAGATGCCAATTGTACCGGCCCTCCTCTCCTTATTACAGAGATGGCAAATCAACGCAGATAAACAGAGATAAAACCGACGGCGCAAAGAGAGAAAAGCGAAAGTGGTAAAGAACAAGGCAGTTGGCATCCGCGGTGGGCGTCGGGGCGGCCACAGAGACAGGATTCAGTGTGGCTTTACCGCCTCTGAGGGAAGGAAGACGAGTGTCAGAGCTCCGCGCGGAAGGGGGTGTGTGAACATGTGATCATCTTGGGAAAAATGTCTTTAGGAGATGGAAGTTGTGATTTGCGCCCTCGGTTGTGAAAATTGGAAACTACCGTTGCCACTGTTTTTATTGTCCGATTATAGATTCTGTGTTGACTTTGAAGTGTTATTTTTTTGTTCGTATATTTTGAAGTGAGAAAATGGGAGTGTTTATTTTTTATTCCTTCTTTCAAAAGAAACTGTGACGAGGAAAAAGTGGTACTTCTGAGCAGGATGTTCCGGGAAATTGTGACGCATAGACAGAAAATCTGACGCAGCCAAGGTTACACAATGTACACTCATGCTGTGACTTACAATTGAGAAAAATGGATATTTCTATTATAAACATCCTTTCGTTTTTTTTCGAAAATATAGAAATATACGCAATAGTATGTTCATGGAAGAATGAAAAGGACTGCGGCAATGTACATGAGGTGTATGTTCAGTGCGTAAGCGTATGCCCTGCGTTCGGTCATAGGCATGCCCCGGTGCCCTGGTGCCCCTCCCTCGGCTTCCATTGCGCCCTGGGTGAATCATCGGCAATTGTAGTGGATTTGGGAGAGGCTGCCGCGGCGCCGCCTCAGAGCCGACATGGAATTCGGAGTTTATAAACCCCTTTCTGAACACGTTGTGCTGGCAGGGGAGAGACGCTTAGGTGGGACTGAAGATGGGTGGAAGATAGAAATGATAGTGTGTGTGTGTCGGTCGGTCTGTCGTTGCTTCTGCGTGTACGTTTATGTCTGTGCCTGTATCTGTATCCATCTACATGCGTGTCTGTTTTCTGTATCTATATCTACATGCGTGTCTGTTTGTAACAGTATTTCAGTATCCGCATGTGGCCAGTGCACCTGCTCTGTTCTCTCTCTACATAATTTTCAGTACATAGACCAAGCAGGCTAAGGTTAGCAAGTCCATCTATATAATTATCCTTGTGAAAGCCAAAAAGAGCAGAAAAAGTAGAAATTCATACTGAGCCAATAAAGGTTTCCTAGTGTAAGTACATGACTAGTAACTATTGTCAGCAAAGGCAGACTTATAACTTCTCTTTTCCCATTGACCAACCAAGGCTCATTTAATCAGTAGATTGAATACGACATCCTTGTGACTATCATTATCGTCGCAGATACGATAGATAAAGGCAATCAAATGATCTCCGCGATTGGAATAACTAAAGAAACAAGGAAAAATGAATGACTCGATGAATAAACAGAATAAAAATAAATATATTACAGAAACACGTGATTGCAGAATGAACTGAACACCGAACAGTTTCACGCTGCCCCCCCCCCTTCCCCTCCCCTTCGAGGCGCCCGACGAAAACTTCCCGATTTGCAGGTGTTTTTTGCGGTGCGGCCATGAGCTAGTTTGCGGAGGCCGCGGGCGCCTCGCCGTTGCTTCCCGCGGTGCACTCGGGTGGGAAGGGAAGGGGAGGGAAGAGTGTTCGTTGTTGCTGACCTCTTGTTGCTCTGTTTCTGCGTTTGTGTGTCTGTTTGTTTTTTTCCTCTCTTCTCTTTCCTTCCCTTCCCTTCCCTCTCTTCCCTCTCTTCCCTCCCCTCCCCTCCCCTCCCCTCCCCTCCCCTCCCCTCCCTTTCTCCCCTCCCTCCCCTCCCTTTCTCCCCTCTCCCTCCCTTTCTACCCTCTCCCTCCACTCCCTTTCTCCCCTCTCCCTCCACTCCCTTCTCCCTCTCCCTCCCTTTCTCCCCTCTCCCTCCACTCCCTCTCTCCTCTCCCTCCCCTCCCTCCCCTCCACTCCCTCCCTCTCTCACTCCCTCTCTCACTCCCTTCATCCCTCCCTCCACTCCCCCCCTCCTAACCCCAATCTTCCTAGTAAATTCATTTCATCAACCAGCTTGAATTAAAAAAAAAAAAGTCGATTAGAAAATTACCAATTACATCCAGTTCATTTTCCTAAGAGTTACGGACGGGCTGGGAATGCGTGAAGAGATAGTGTGAGTTGATAACAAGTGGTAAATCGATAGCAAGAAGGTCGGGCCAGTTTAGCCTCGCAGTTCCAGGTGTGGTTGTGTGTGGAGGTCCTCCCAGGTCGCTGCAGAACGTGGTGGTTTTCCTGACGAATGTGGGAGTGTGTGTGACTACGTGTACAAAGGGGTTTTGGGAAATGTAATGGCACGTCGGTTTTAATCCTCGTGTGTTTTCCTGTTTTCTGTGATTTTAGAGGTTAGAGGTCCTTGTTTTGACAGTATGTAGAGAGAAGTAGAAGTGTCTTTCATAATAGTGTGGGATTATTATTGTTAATTTCTTTTGTCGAACTGATAGCGAGTGAAACTGTCTTCCTACGTTGTGTTTTTTCTCCTCTCCATGTTGAAAATCTTGAGCTTTTATTGGGAATACATGACCAAAAATACGAGCAATGCATGCAAAATAGAATTCTTTATTCACGTCCATCTAGTAACGAATTAGATGAGCCATGTCACTACCTGTGTGTGTTAATTACCTTAATTATCTGTAGTTTGGAGACCTTGTTGGGAGTGTATGAACAGAAGTACAGGTGTCTCGTAATTACAGGGGATGACTCTTCTCTCTGTCGAACTGCGAACGAGTGAGCGACGCTTCATAATGATGTGGTGGTTGTCTTTTCTGTGGTTCTCAGTGCCGCTCTAATTCGCTCGGAGGTTCGGTCGCGCCAAGCGTTGAGAGCGATTTAGTCTCTTAATAACGTGTGATTTCATTTCTCTTCTTTCCTCTTCTCTTCTCTTCTCTTCTCTATTCTCCCATCTTCTCCATTACCCTCTCCTTTCCTCTCTTCTCATCTCTCCTCATCTCCTCTCTTCTCATCTCTCTTCCCCTCTCCTCTCTGTCCCCCTCCTCTTCTCTCTTCTCATCTCTCCTCATCTCCTCCCTTCTCATCTCTCTTCCCCTCTCCTCTCCTTCCCCCTCCTCTCCTTTCCCCCCATCCTCTCCCTCGAGCTAGTAATGAGTGAACTGTTTCACGATAATAAGGGAGTTCGGTCTCTTTCCGAGTTTTCCCTTAATAGTTCGCATGTTGCAAACCCTCCTGTGTATTTTGAGAACAACAGAAATACGGGAATCTCTCATAATAACAAGGGATTTCTCTTTTTCTCTCTGTGGAGCTGATACCGAGTTCAGTGTTGGCAGAGAGCCCGATCTTCCTGCCAGAGGCTCCTTCGGAAGATCTGAAAGCGGGAACTCTGTAGTTTTTGGCAGTTTTTAGTCGAGTCTTTGCGGGAGATGTAGTAAGAGTCTCATACAAAAGTATAGTTTATAGGGTTATCAGAAGGCTTTGCTATAGACACATTGTAGGGCGACTGGAATGTTTTTTTTCTTAAATACTTATGATCCCTGTTATTGTAGTATGTCTGTGTTTCTTTCGTGTTTTAAAAAGAACTATCCACGGAGTGTTATCAGTTATAATAATAGGTTTTATTTGACGTGATGTGATTATAAGTCATTTACCGAGTACCAAAGATCCCCGGCATTTCTATAGGCACAAGATGCGTACCAAGTTTGGCATTCCTCCGAGAATTTATAGGAACCCAGTGTCAACGCTCAGACCGCCCTTCTCTCCTTCCTTCTCTCCTCTTCTCCCCCTCCTCTCCCCCCTCCTCTCCCCCCTCCTCTCCCCCCTCCTCTCCCCCTCCTCTCCCCCTTTTCTCCTCCTTCCTCTCCATCTCCTCTCCCCCTTCTCTCCTCCCTCCTCTTCCCCTTCTCTCCCCCCTCCTCTTCCCCTTCTCTCCCCCCTCCTCTTCCCCTTCTCTCCCCCCTCCTCTTCCCCTTCTCTCCCCCCTCCTCTTCCCCTTCTCTCCCCCTCCTCTCCCCCTTCCCTCCTCCCTCCTCTCCCCCTCCTCTCCCCGGGAACAGGAGCCGAACCGCTGAGGAATTTACCCCTTTCTATCCGTGACAGTAATCACATTCATACCTTTATATAGTGGGTGTGTTGACATTCTTCCGGGCTCGTGGCGGAGACGCTCATTGCCGAGAGTTGAAATGGGCTCAGCTTTTGATGGCGAGAGGAATGCCCAGCGTGCCCAGAGTGGGAGCACCTGATGCCCCTTGCTTGCCCTTATGTGCTGCGTGGTAAAGCGGTAGCGATCTCGTCTACCAATCCTGCCGACCTGCGTTGGAATCCCTCGCCGCCAGTGGATGGTGACGCAGGGGAGAGTTTAGAAGCAAAATAAAACAGACAGCATGTCACACCAAGAATACCCATTGTAAAAAAAATGGAATCAATCTAAATTATTTAATTATTATTAATCATGCCCCTTATGCCCTTTTGCTTGCCCCGTATGCCTCTTATGCCCCGTGCCCTTCCAGAGACGCTCGCCCCTGGGCTGGGGAAGGGAAATGGGTCCTGGTGGTGCTCATATCCTTTTTTATTTATCAATTTATGTTAATTTATACATTCATTCATTTATTTCTTTTTAATATTCATTTATTTTATTAGTCAGATATTTTATTTATTTATTTATTTATTTACTTTTTAGGGGGTGGAATGTTTGGATTGTTTTTATTTTTGGTGTTTCGCAGTTGAAGGGCGTAGGAGGCGGGAAGAGGGACAGATAGGAAGGAAGGTGTGAAGGACGGAAGGAAGGAAGAGGTAAAGGAACGGCGGAAGAAGGATGGGAGAAAGGGAGAAAGGAAGGGAGGAGGAAAGACAAACTTAGACAGAGTGGTTGAGAGAGAATAGAGGATGAGCGGTTGATTGGGCAGATATGAAACAAACGGATAGACAGGCTGGCAAGCAGACAGATAGACAGATACAGATAGGCAGGCAGGCAGGCAGACGGACAGACACAGGCAGGTAAGCAGACGGACAGACCCAGGCAGGCAGGCAGACAGACAGGCAGGCAGGCAGATAGAGACAGACATACACAGACAAAAACAGACACGGCGAGCGGTGGAGAAAGGCCTAAATCCCAGCAGTACGAGCCGATCTCCACTCCCGAGAGCATAGGCCTGTGGCAGTGTTGGGGAAGAGGCAGGAGAGCGAGCGTGAGCGGTTTCTGTCCGTGGGCCCCTTCATGACGGCTCTGGGGGACGACTCGGCCGCCAGCCCTCGACGTCTCCTGCTGCGGCGGCGGTGGGCGACCCGACCCGTCCGGATACTCGCAGTTGGTCCGCGTCGAGAGGAAGGGACTTTCTTATTTTGCATATTGGCGCTGGTGGGATTTTATTTATTTATTTATTTTATTTTATTTATTTTTTGCGGGGGTGGGGGGCGGTCTTAATTATGTGTTCGTATGATTAAAGACCCACGCTCTCTTTGTCTGTCTCTTGTCCATTTCTGTCCATCTCCTCGGTGTATCTGCACCATGAAGATATTCGTTCTCTCTCTTAGCTTCTCTTCATTTGCTTCTATAAACAATGCTCATACCTGCCTTCCTGTTCTCCCTCCCTTACTCCCTTCCTCTTTCTCTCTCTTCCTCTCCCTCCTTCTCTTTCTTCCTCTCCCTTTCCCTTCTTCCCTTCTTCTCCCCCTCCCTCCTTTTCACTCCTCTTCCTCCCTCCCTCCCTCCCTCCCTCCCTTCCCTTTCCTCCTCCCTCCCTTCCCTTTTCTCCTCCCTTCCCTCTTCCTCTCCCTCCCCCTCCCCTTCCTCCCTCCCTCCCTCCCCCTCCCCTTCCTCCCTCCCTCCCTCCCTCCCCCTCCCCTTCCTCCCTCCCTCCCTCCCTCCCTCCCCTTCCCCTCCCCTTCCTCCGTCCCTCCCTCCCTCCCTCCCTCCCTCCCTCTCTCTTCCCTCTCTCTTCCCTCCCGCTTCCCTCTCCCTCCCCTCTCCCTCCCTCTCCCTCCCTCTCCCTCCCTCTCCCTTCCTTCCCCCTCCCTCCCTCTCCCTCCCATTCCCTCCCTCCCTCATCTAGTCATAGACCCAACTCCCTACCCCCCTCTCCCCGCCAGCCCCTGCCGCAGGAGGGACTGTCCTCCAGGCGCCCCTCGGCCTTGCTCGGAGCTACATGTCTGTACAACAGGTGTTCCTCGGGGCAGGTGTGAAGGATGACGACGCGGTGTGTCGATGCAGGTGTGGCGGCTGCTCTAGTGAAGGCGCGGTGGTGAGGCCGGCAGGGTGTAGTGACGGGGCGGGTGATGGTGTTGTGATGAGGGCGGTGATGAGGGCTAGTGAGGGGGGAGGTGGGGAGGGAGTAGTGACGGGGGTGGGGATGATGGGGGTGTGATTGGGTGGTGGTGATGGTGTGATGGCGGAGGTGGTGGTAATGGTGGTGATGTAATGAAGGGATGACGCTTATGGTGGACAGGCGATGATGATGATGGTGTTGCGACTGGGCTGGTGTTGATGGCGTGGTGAAGCGGTGGTGTTGAGGCCAGGAAGGTGTATCGACGGTGTTGTTTGTGTGTTTTGTGGGGAAGATGGCCGCGGGGGACGTAATTGGGGGCGGTGTTGGCGAGGCGGTTGTGGCGGGGGGCGGGGGGGAGGGGGCGGTGAGTTCCGGTAAAAGGGGGAAGTGAAGAGGGTCAGTGGGTAGGCTTTTGAACATTCGGAGTATCTGCCATTATTACCATTGTTGCTGTTAGAATTTGTGTTATTGTTATTATTGTTATTACTGTTACTGGAATTGTTATTAGTAGTACTTTTGTTATTGTGAAGTACATATCCCATTCCGGTGGGCAACAACTTAATATATTTACTACGAAGTTTACGTCGAAATCAGTCAGAAATCTAAAAGAGTCTTTAGGCTCGTAGCCCCAACCACGTGGGCGTGGCATCGGGGCGCTTCAGCTGCGGCGGCGCTGAGGCAGAGGCGGCACGTGGGCGGGCGTCGCCTCGCCTTAAATAGTGTCCTCGCAGGTGAGCGGAGTGGGATCCATGACCCCAATACGCGCCCATCGTCGCCCGCGCCCAAGGATGCCCGCTCCGTGCCCGCCCATCAAGGCCGGCTTCGCGGGGGAGTGGGCGGCCCGACTGCCTCGCCCGCAACGACGTGTCTCGAGTGTACTTGGGAATTTATATAATCGAAAAAATGACAAAGAAGACGCGATTGAATGAAAGTACAATAAAAAGAAAGAAAAGAAAACAAAAACTAAACAAAACAGACAATCGGAAGGGGCTAAGAAAGAAAAGAGACTCCGAGCTCCCTGCAAGGGAATTCGCAGGGGGGGGGGGGGGGGGCTGTGGGTTAGTGGGCCTCCGCTGCAGGTGTTCGGGGATCGGCGGATGACTAATGCCGCGCCGGGGAGCAAGTGGACCTTTGTTGGACTTAGTTTTAACTTCGTGTCCCGTGTATTGAAAAGAACTTAAACGTTTTGTGATCGATTTCATTAAAAAAAAGAAAAAGGATAGATTTTTTTTTTTATTATATCGATTTCATTTTGGATTAAAGGAAGGGACTTCATTCTTTTCAGGCAGAGAGAGTGTAGTGAAAAGTGACACGCAAGGGCGTTCCGAGACTCTCAGGTGAAAGACAGCTCTGTTGCCGTCGAGACAAAGTTGCAAGGCCTTTGCCATAGAAAAGATAGTGATCTGTGGACCTAGTCGGACTTAGTGGGACTCGAAATGCGTCCGGAGGCGGAGTAAGGACCGAGACCGAGACAGACGCCAGCAGCCATGAGGTTCTTCAAGAAGGACGTCGCGGCGGCCAGCCCGGCCCACGCCAAGGGCGTCAACCACAACAACAATGTGCACATCATCGAGGACCCGAGGAAGCAGGTAGGAAGTCCAGAGGATGTGGACGAGGGAGGCAGGGCTGGCTCTGTCTGCCTCCCCCCCCCCCCTCTCTCTCTATCACTTAAGTGTTCGCCTTTCCAGACTGTTTTTTGAGAGCCGATGCTTTATTTTTCTCTCGGTTGTCTTCTTCCCTATTTTCCTTGTACTGTAAAATGGGAGATGGAAAGTGTGTATGTATGCTTTGCATTTCCAACTTTAAGCCTTTTATTTGGAACTGTACTCGAAAAAGTTATAATCCAACTTAGCTGCCTTCTTCGGGAAAACGAAAATGAAGCGTGTGTTCAGCGCAAGTCCATAGCATTCACCCCAGCCCACCAAAAGCAACGACAACGAGCGGAAAGTGAATGTCGGATCGTGGGCGTGGGCGTGAGAGCTCGTGGCGGCTCCCCCCCCCCCCTCCCTCTCTCCCTTCTCCTAGGTTGTTTCGTACCCAAAGGGAAGGTGGAGGCGAGGGGGTCCCCCTCCCCTCCTGCCCACCCTCCCTCTCTTCCTCCTCCCCCTCCCTCCCTCCCTCCCTCCCTCCCTCCCTCCCTCCCTCCCTCCCCCTCCCCCCTCCCTCATCGTCTTCAACCCATCACCCCCTTCCCTCTCCCCCCTCCTCCTCCCCCTTTCCCATCTACCTTTCCCCCCTGCCCCCTCCCCCCCCCCAGCCCGACCTCGAAGTCACGACCGCATTTAGGCCTAAGTAGCGTGGATATCCGCCCGCAGCCGCCCACGGAAGGAAGCGTGGGCGTCCGAATGGAGGGAAGAAAGAAGATTAGAATGAAAGTGGGAAGGAAAAGTTGGATGAAAATGGAGGAAGAGAAAAAGGAAGGAGACTTGGAGGTGGAGGAGGAGGAGAGAGAGGATATTGATAATAAGAAAGAAAGAAGGAAAGATAAAAGAACAGAAAAAGGAAGAGGAGGAAAGGGAGTTGGGGATGAGATAGATCTGGATAAAAAGAGGGGAAGAAGAATAGAAGAGGAGGAGGAGATAGAGACAGAGATCGAGAGAGGCTTGAAGGCAGAGCGAGAAGGACAGAAACAGGAAGAGGAGGAAACGGAGTTGAGAAAGAGATAGATATGGATAAAAAAAAAGAGAGGAAGAAGAAGAAGAAGAAGAAGAAGAAGAACAGAAGGAGGAGACAGAGATAGAGAGAGGCAGAGCGAGAGGCGGTGACGCAACAGGTCGCCGGGCTAGAGAGGCCGCGGGCGTAATCCAGCGCCCGTTCTGCGCCCAGATGCAGCGCCTCGCCCGGACCCTCTCTCGGGTTTTGCTGCTCGCTTCCTGCTTCTCTCCTCTCTCTCCTCTTGCCGCCTCACTCCCCCCTTCCGTGCTTCCTCCTCTGCCCGCCATCTTCCTCCCTCCTCTTAGCTCTCGCTTCCTCTCCTACTCCTCGCCTCTTCTCCCTTCCTTCTTCCTCTCCCCCCCTTTCTCTTCTTCCTCTCCCCCACTTTCTCTTCTTCCTCTCCCCCCCTTTCTCTTCTTCCTCTCCCCCCCTTTCTCTTCTTCCTCTCCCCCCCTTTCTCTTCTTCCTCTCCCCCCCCCTTTCTCTTCTTCCTCTCCCCCCCCCTTTCTCTTCTTCCTCTCCCCCCCTTTCTCTTCTTCCTCTCCCCCCCTTTCTCTTCTTCCTCTACCTCCCCTCTTCCTCTTCCTTCTGTCTTCGTCTGTCATCCCTCCCTTCCCCTCTCTAACTCCTCTCCTACCCCTCCTTTCCCTCTCCTCTCTCTCTCTCTCTCTCTCTCTTCTCTCTCTCATCTTTCTCTCCTCTCATCTTTCTCTCCTCTCCTCTCCACCTCTCCACTCCTCTCCTTTCGACCTCTCCTCTCCTCTCTCTCCTCTCCCCCTCTCCCCCTCTCCCTCTCTCTCCCTCTCTCTCCCTCTCTCTTCCTCTCTCTCCCTCTCCTCTCTCTCCTCTCCCCCTCTCCCCCTCTCCTCTCTCTCCTCTCCTCTCTCTCCTCAACCCCTCTCCCTGTCTCTCCCTCTCCTCTCTCTCCTCAACCCCTCTCCCCCTCTCCTCTCTCTCCTCTCTCTCCTCTCCCCCTCTCCCTGTCTCTCCCTCTCCTCTCTCTCCTCTCCTCTCTCTCCTCTCCCCCTCTCCCTGTCTCTCCCTCTCCTCTCTCCTCTCCTCTCTCTCCTCTCCCCCTCTCCCTGTCTCTCCCTCTCCTCTCTCTCCTCTCCCCCTCTCCCCCTCTCCTCTCTCTCCTCTCCCCCTCTCCCTGTCTCTCCCTCTCCTCTCTCTCCTCTCCCCCTCTCCCCCTCTCCTCTCTCTCCTCTCCCCCTCTCCCTGTCTCTCCCTCTCCTCTCTCTCCTCTCCCCCTCTCCCCCTCTCCTCTCTCTCCTCTCCTTTCCTCTCCTTCTTCCAAGTCACCTTTACTTTTTTTAGAAATGCACTTAAGAGCCAGCACCTAAGCCGCCCACGCATCTAGTTTAGTTTTTTTTTCTTACACGAGCGGATTCCCTTTCACTTTCGTCCCTTCCTTTTCCTTCCCTCCCTTCTCCT